CAAAATGCCACATCCTTTTAGATTAAAGTGCTTTTTGAATCTTTATTAGAATTTGTAGTTTAGCAAGCATATTAGAAACATGCATGATATATTTATACAGTCGTAGTACCAAAGAGTCTCCTGTTGTTGTTCTTTTTTTTTAAACCTTTCTGCACTGGTAACATTTTGGGGAAAATGCACAAACCCAGAAAAACATTTTTTTTTAAAATGTATTTACACATATTTGGAAGTTAAAAAAAAAAGGTATAAAAATGAACGGAGCAAAGAGTGAACTCTTTCATTCCCAAGGAAAGCATCATAGGTTCATAGGTTCCTAAGAACGAATGATGCATTGATTTTACATCTCTCTTTACCACCATTTGGGCCTCTGATGCTAAACCCCATGGGACTGAAAGAGTTAAAAGGACTAGACTTTCTTAGGTCTAAAAACAAATAATTCATATGGTGACTCATGCCGTGACCTATGACCATAATTACAAAAGGCTAAAGGGTAATAACAACATCATGATAATATCATAAACACTGAAATCCGTTTATTCTCAATTTCTGTACTCCCCCTTCTAACCCCTCTTTCCCCCAATGATATTATTTTGAAAATATAATTATACAAGTCCTCCTAAACACTGAGCAGATCCAAACAGAACCAATGCCATTAACTAAACTCACTGAAGACTAGCCAAGACAGCAGTGCCAGTTTAGGGATAAGTAATAGACATTGATGCTGGATCAGCGGCCTCATGGGCCAGAGGGTTAAATCTAAAGGTAGTCTGTTAGTGGAGACTTAGCTCTTTGAGTCCCAAGGAATGCATGATACATTCATAGGTTCCTACCTAGAAGCCCAATGAACGCATGATGTGCCGATTTTATTACTTTTTTACTACCCTCTGGGCCTGTGATGCTAAACCCCCTGGGACTCAAAGAGTTAAGGAGTGAAATGTTAGGACTTCAAACATTTTCGGCCATACAATGACTACCACACTTGCCTGCCATTGCAGTTGCCATATGTTCAGATACCCTTCAAGGCAGGTATTTGTTACACTGATTTGAAATTCAATTTGATCCAGCTTACATTTGTTACAAAGAAATTTTCTGAAATGTAAAAAAGGCCTAAATGAACTTGATCAAAGCATCCACACATTAGGCGCTGATCAGCGTTAAAATTTGGGCCAGCACCATATTCCCCGTGCATCTCAGGGAGTGACAAGGGATTTTTTTATTTTTACTTTACCTCCCTATTTTCATCAGTATTGTTAGAATAACATATTTTCTGTTTGGTTTCAGCCTAATTTATCATCTATTCTGGTAAAGTAGCATAGAATGTTTTGTTTACTTTTTCTTTATTTAAAAAAAAAAAATTAACAGTCTGATTTGTTCTGGTGCTTTAATGCTTTTAATAAATTTACTACTTTTTGAGCCTCCTGACAGTTAGATCTGCATGAACAAAAACTGCCTGCTTATAAAGGTGTTGATAATTTGATCTTGATTACCTCATTTTTTTTTTTTTTTCAACTAATTCTGTTCTAAGAATTTACAATTTTTTTTTTCTTTAAATCACCCTGCGGGTCTTAGTATTTAAGATAATAACATTATGAAACAAGAAGAGTTAGAATAAGAATTGGAGCAGAGTGAGTGAGTGCAACAACTGAATGGGTCACATCCTGTGTGGATTCTGAGCCACCATTGTGGGAGAAAACAAGAACAGACACACTGCCTCCCCAGCAAGCATGTCGTAAGAGTCAACTAATTGGGGTCTTTGAGTCAGAGGGCATCTCCCTGAGAGGCAAGGAATCAGCAGTCTGCATACAAATAAGCCATTCCTGTTAAATTGATGTGCAAACAAAACTGATATTCTGGAACAAAACTGAAGTTCAGAAGTGAATGAACAACCAAACTTTCCACCTGAGTTTTACAGCCGGTGAATGCGAAGAATAAGAAGAATAGGTCATAAGGTTTTCACAAAATATATAGCGTGACTGTTAAAACCAAAAACTGCAGGATGGGTTACTTGGTATTGAATGAGTAAGCTACCAGGTTTTACAAATGCTGTGGTGTTTTATTCACATTTTTTCAAATTGTCAGTGAAAGCCCAGACTGATTGACTTCCTTCCTGTGTCATTACTTGAAGGTTTTATCAACCCTTAGACTCCAAGAGTCTCATCCTCAGTGGTTGTCAGCAGTAAATTAAAAGTATAATTTTATTTCGCAACAGCCATGGTGTTCTGGTAGCAGAGTTTTTAGTTTCCCAGCCCTACTATCCACACTTGTATAATCTCTCCCAAGCTCCTCCTCTTTTTTTTAATCCTAAACAACTCTCATTCAAGGACTGTGAAAGCTCCACCCTTTGGGGACAGTTCATTTACTAGCTGCCTATCAGTCAAGAGGGCTCTAACACTTGTTTGCCAACACTGGGTTACATTCCCAGGGTCCATGAAGCTGGCTAGAGCTTTGTATGGTCATAAACAAAGTTTATCCTTTCCCTTTCAGTCTGCTAAATGCTCTTACACCTGGTCCAAGGTCATCTGCTAACACCTCATTCTGAAAGGTGTCAACACCAGCCCTAGCCTGCAGTTCAAGAAAGATAATTCCAGGGGGAGATAATCAGTTTCATCACAAGTTACCTAAACGGCCCCTATTGATTGGCAACATGCAATAGTTATACCATTGTGGAAGAACAAAGGAAGCGAACGTGAATGCGGTCAATATCGAGGCATCTCTCTTTTAAGCCATGTTGGCAAAATGTATGCCAAGATAATAGAAACAAGACTGAGACCAGTGATAGAACCACAGCTGGCAGAAGAACAGATGGGATTTAGGAGAAATAGAAGCTGCACAAATGCAATCTTCACACTTAAACAGTTAATAGAAAAGAACATTGAATACAATAAGAACTTATATGTGGCATTCGTAGACCAGGAGAAGGCATTTGACAGAGTCGACAGACAATTACTTTGGAAAATAATGGCAAGATATGGAGTAAGCGAACACCTCATCGAAGTGTGCAAAAGTTTAAACAGGGATTGTAGAATAAATCAGGGAACATCTCATCCTTTCACAGGGACATCTGGAGTAAGACAGGGGTGTGTCTTATCACCACTGCTGTTTATCACCTACATCGACAGTATATGCAAGAATGCCAAGCCCATGAATGAAGATCTTAGTAAGATCAACGAATTACTCTTTGCAGATGACCAGGCCTTGATAGCAGATACAGCCATGAAATTGCAACAACATCTAACATCCATGAATGAAGAATGTAAAACAAATAATATGAGAATCAACACTGAAAAGACAGAAGTAGTGTCAATAGGAAAAAAGAAGACAGATCTAAACATAGCAATATAATACAAAGACATTAAACAGGCATCTGAGTTTAAATATCTGGGAACTACATTTACCGAAGATGGGAAATTGGATAAAGAAATTGACATTAGATGCAGTAAAGCAAACCAAGTATTGGGACAGCTAGCCCCCCTCTTACAGCATAAGACAATCCCAATCAGCACAAAGAGACATCTTATTCAAAGCATATTTATTCCAACTCTGTGCTACCAGTGCCAGACATGGTCACTCACAACAAACCATAAAAGAAAATTAGTAACCACGGAAATGAGATGTCTGAGAAGGGCTGTAGGAGTGACCATAAGAGATAAGATCAGGAATGAGATCATTAGAGAACAAGTCGGCACAGAACCAATTCTGGATTACATACAAAGACAGCAAGTGAAATCGTTTGCCCACTTAGAGAGAATGCCTTGTGACACCATACCATACAAAGCATACATGTAAAGAGAAGAAGGACGTAGAGCACGGGGTAGACCAAGAACAAGATGGAAGGATAACATCAGAGAAACTCTACAACAGCACGATGTGCATATGGTCGAGGCAGCCAGAAGAGCTATAAACAGAACCTTATATCTCCCTCGACACCCACAGCGGTAAAAGAGGAAGTGAAGAAGAAGAAGGCAAGTTACCTGCTCCTACTGTTCTGGTCTTTAGATAATTATATGACACAACAGTTTAACAGACAAAACCTGCAGCCACTGTGTCTAAGCTTGTTCAGTGTTATCTGGATTCTTGACACCTTACCCCTGGGCAAGAGTCTGGGTGTTTGACCTCAACTTTAGTCAAAGGGAAATTGAGTGGCTTTGTTCTGGTTGACCTAGATTTAGGTTATATCCAGGAGTATACCTTCCTTTATAACTTAAAATATATATAACAAATTAAATTGAGGAAAGTCACGTTCTGAAGTTACCAGTCCTGTCGCCACAGAATAAACAACCAGAACTTTCCACTGGAGTTTACAATTAGTAAATCTGAAAAAGAAGTATTATTGATGACAGATTGTCTCTCAAATTGGTATAGGTGATCAAACTTCTCCACATCCTCCAAAATTCACCAGAATGTATCAGTTTGTATGCTAAGGTCCTTGCATGCCATGAGAAAAGGCTATCAAGAATCTTATCTTTTTTGTCCTTCTCTGTCTCTCTTTCCATAAACCTTTACTCAATCACTACCAGTGTTGAACATGCTGTGGAAATAAAACGTCAGATTCTCTTATATTCAAATAATGTGTGATGTGTGGTTGACTCTTTCCTTGGAGTCTCAAACACTCATTGTGTTCACATGCTTTTTTTTTTTTTTTTACATATGGCCAGAACACTAAAAAATAATTCTTTCATGACTAACTCAAAACAGTTACAAGAAGCTGTTTATAAAGAAATTCTTGTAAAGACTAATTGCAGCATTACATTAAAAAAAAATATGATTATAATAAATGTTTCTGTAAAATACGTTTCAAAATAATTATGGCATTGTTTTATTTCATTGATTTAATTAATTGTAACAAAGAGTACATGTTAATATTTTTCTGTTGATTTTCTTTAATTGCTTGTTAATAGTTTTCTACCACTGTCTGAGCATGTATAGTGCAGTGCATGCATTTTATTTTATAATTTCCTTAGTGTTTTGAAAAAAAAAAAAAGCAATTAAATATTTTGATGATGCTAGTTAGCAAACGGTTGTTTTGATTTACATATTTAAAAAATTTTAAATAATGCTGACACAAACAATGCATTGCAATTTTTGTTCTGGCATATTTTGTTGTATCTATGTGGGTTTTAGGGCCCCGTTTGGTGATAGGGTTGGGGTGGGGGAGGGGGTGGGAGGGGAATAGACCCACAAATGTGTAGTAAAAGTTAACTAATTAGGGATGTTTCCTTCGAAGTCAGAGTGTAAATGCCTGAGAGGTAAGGAACAAACGGACAGCAGACTTTTAATCAGGTTGCCACTGGTACCATTAGCATGTCAACTCTTTGTTGGTTACTGAAGAAGGGGATGGAGCACATGTGGGAGTGTCCTGAGTGCAGTAATGTCAATTCAAGATTCATTCATTCATTGCAAATAAATAAGCCAGATTTGTAACCAGATGTGCACCAAGAAAAAAGCTCATGTTTCGAAAAAGACAAAAGTGTAGAAATTGACAAACAACAAGAACTATCAACCGGAGTTTACATCGGGTGAACACGAAGAAGGAGTTGCATTACTGCTGATGATGTCACTCTGTAGTGATACACTTGAGGAAATATAATGAAATAACCCAAGCAATAAATTGTGTAATATATTGTTTGTGTCTGCATTATGGAAATTAACGATGAGAAATCATTGCTTTGTTTTTAAAATATGACCTGTCTTTGTCCACTCAGGAGGATGGTGGAAGTGCTGTCAGTAACTATATTGTAGAGAAGCAAGACAAGGCCACAGGGAAATGGGAGCCAGTCAGCAAGTTTGTTCGGGGAACAAAGTACGAAGTTCTGGGGCTTTTGGAAGGCCATGAGTACAATTTCCGTGTCAGTGCAGAGAATGAATACGGAGTTGGAGAGCCACTGGAGACTGTTCTTTCTGTAGTTGCACAGCACCCATTCAGTAAGTTTTGTTTCTTTTAATCTTGAATCCAATAGCAGAAATCTCTCTCTGTCTCTGTCTGTCTCTCTCTCCCTGTCTCTCTCTCTCTGTCTTTGTCTGTCTCTCTCTCTCTCTCTCTCTCTCTCTCTCTCTCTCTCTCTTTCTTATGCTGTTTTCTTCTTTGTTTTATTTGTTAACTTCCTTAAAAGATATGACCAAAACAAATAGAATTTGAGTCCTATGTAACATAAAAATGGCATGAAAGGATAAATGATGGTAAGATATGATGTAGGAACATCAAGAGAAAAGAAGTTCAAAGCAATATTTCCTGTTGTGAATTGAAATAATGTGGATACAAGCAACACACAGCATACTTTAATGCTTGGCAGTTTCACTGTCTCATTAGCAGCAAAAGAGCTGACGTTAACATATAATGAAGTACAAAACATGCATCCTTACCACAAAAATATACTAATCTTGTGTATTGTTACACTGTACATCTCACCACTTGAAGTCTGAAAATTAACCATATCACCACCTAGTAATCTTAGTTTCAGCTTTAAAGCAAACGGGTCACCCTATAGTTGCTCCGCTCCTGTGCCAACAAATAACACACAGAATGTTTATCACAGTCCCTTGTGGAAAGATTGACAGACTGCTGTCTCAGCATATGCACTAGCATACACACGCATTTAAAGCATACAGTAGCTATCTGAAGTGCTAACACAAACAGTCCGAGATTAGAAATGCAGTTCATCATGGATGGTAGCACTAGTGACTAGCAGCACCACTGAAGTTTAAGATTAACCACATGATCCTAGGATTACAAGGGAACAGGTATTAACAATTTGAATGTTTTAACATGTAGTATATTTTAATAGAAGACCCTTAAAATGGTGCTCTGACTTAATCCATTGTTGCTGTATGCTTGTAGCTGCACCAGAGTCTCCTTTGCAAGTAGTTGTTGATGATGTGGATGAATCATCTGTGACACTGAAATGGAGCAAACCAAAGAGTGACGGAGGCAAGAAAATCGATGGGTATGTCATTGAGTACAAGGAGCTTTCATCTAACAGGTGGAAGACCTTCAATGAAGCACCTATTAAGGAGACCTATGCTACAGGTAGGCAGAAATATAGTACTAACATGACATTAGTGGTTTCCATTTCATTCAATAAATGAATCAATCAAGAACAGATATCACTGCACTCCAGATCATCCCATTTATGCCTCTCCCCTCAGTAGGCAACAAAGTGTTTCCATACTAATGGTATCTTTTGCAACCGCATTGAAAGTTCACCTATTTTTTTTCTCCTGTGGGTAGACAATTATCCAGATCTTCTGCTCACTGCCAGCTGAACCTTTCTCTCCAAAAATGGGATATTGTGCCTGTCCTATTGCACTGTTTGCTTGATCCTAGAGAGCCTTAACAACATTCCGTTTGTCATGAAGTAGCTCACTACCTAGAGGGGAGTGCATCTGCCTGAGAGGCAAAGAACTAGCAGTCTGCATACTAATAAGCCAGATCTGTAAAACAGATAGTTAGTTAGTTAGTTAGTTAGTTGGGTTATCCTCATTGCACTCCGGACATGTCCATAGGTGCTCAGATCCTCCCCTCAGTATGAACCCCAACGTCCGATGGCTAATAGTACCAGTTCTATGTTGATTAACAAGTCTTCTGGCGTAGCTGGTGTGCGTCTCGTTTTTTGCTGTGCCGATCTTAATTCCCAAGTCTGCCATTCTGGCGAGCGATGTGGATTCACTGCCACCAAAGTCGTCTATCCTTCCCATTTCTCTGAGGGCATTGATAATATCAGCATGATCCATAGGCTGACCGTCGGTAGTGATAGCGGATCCAGCCAACCTGTCAGCTCTTTCATTTCCATCGACGCCTGCGTGTCCCGGAACAAAAATAAAGGTGACTCCACGGACAGTGGACTTCTGTAATGATTCAAGCCATTCTCTTCGCACTGAACCTGCCTGAACCCTCCGGATCATACTCATTGAATCACCGAGTATACACACGCGGGTGTATTTTTGTGTTTCAAGCCAGGCAAGCGCTTGTGTCACTGCCATCACCTCCATCGTCATGCTGCTGGTTGTCATGGAGAAGGCGCCGTTGGCTTCTTTGACTGTTCTGCCCGCTGAGCGTGCTGTAAATGCCCATGCGCTTCTTCTTTGGCGTATAACGGATCCGTCTGTATAGATTATTGCATCTGCTTCGTCTGAATTTTCACCGATAAGAGCGTTGACCTCTGCATTAACAGCAACAGGATTCTCTTCTCTACATCGCCTGTTGAGTGTGACAATACAGGAAAATGTACAAATAAACGCCTGAAGCACAGGTATCCATTCTGCACCAGGTATGATGTCGGTTAGGCTGCATATTTGCCTAATAACATCTTCTGCCTGACCTAGCTACGATTTCCCCCTCTTCAGTCTGTCGCCCTTTTCACTAAAAAGCGCTTGATGCAGTGGGTGTTTCTTATCAGCACATATTTTGAGATATGCCCGAGCCCTCCACATCCTGATCCTTTAGTTCATTGTTGGAAAGTCAAGTAGATACCTCATTGCTCCACAGGATGTGTCTCTAGTACATCCCAAAATAATGCGCATGGCTTCATTTTGCACCTTTTCGAGTCGTTCAATCTGGGTAGCACTGACAGTGAGGATGGCCACATGTAAAACAGATGTGTACGTTAAACTCAAGTTCTTGAACAGGACTACATTCAGAAGTGAACAAACAACCAGAACATTTTGCCAGAGTTTACATCCAGGGAATATGAAGAAGAAGAAGAAGAAAAAGAAGAAGAAGAAGAAGAAGCAGCAGCAGCAGGAGGAGGAGGAGGAGGAGGAGGGGGGAGGAGGAGGGGGAGGAGGGGGGGGAGGAGGAGGAGGACATGAATCTGGTATATGTATGTTCAAATATTGAATAAAACCAAAAGAAATGGTATTAGTTAGTATTATGGCATGGTGAGACATCTGTATATTAAACACCATTAATTATTTCTGTCCCAGCTCTTGTGTACAAAAGAAAATTATTGTTATCATTAAATATTTCCACGAAAATTCTAACCACTTGCTGTGTTGTAGGAATGAACAATAATTGACAGATACCTGCAGAAGATGGGGACGGAGCACATATGGAAATGCCCCGAGTGCTGTGATGTCAATTCTTGACTCAACTCAACTCAACTGACCAAAACTTGAAGATAACTTGATGATGTCTGAGATATGTGTGGAATGGTCGGTAACACATCATGCTTTGTTTGGAACTCAACGAGTTAAATAGTTAGTGTTGTTGGTACCCTTCCATCTTTCCAGGGAATAGTGTTATATTGTGTTATAGGGAGGCATAGGAATCACAGCCTATTGTGATGGCGAGTGTGACTAGCAGGACCTGCTCATGTTAAGAAACATCTTCTTCAACAAAAATATTGATGTTTCAGGACAATTGTTGCCATCACCGTGTATTTAACATTCTTCTTCTCAGAGACTTAGTTCTCAATGTATTTTCATTCATTTTCTCCTTTACTGCTGTTCCCCTTCCTGATTTTCCCCCCTCCATAATAACAGTCCATGGAAGATTGTTCCTACAGTCATTTTATAATTTTGTTCTGAACAAAATACGGTACTTAATTTATAACTTACCCCTGACCAAGTTTACGGTTAGGGTTAGGGTTAGGGTTAGTGTTAGCATTAGAAGACACTCGATGAACACTCAAAAAAAGCACCACACAACAGCACACTTCCACCCTTGAAATAAAGGACTGTCAGGTCAGCTGTGGATTTCCCACGGGGATTTCGTGTTTGGGGTACAATATAAATTAAGAACCCAAAATACTTCATGTAATTCCTGTTATTCTTGTGTGATTTCAGTGAAAGGGCTTGAAAATGACACAGAGTATGAATTCCGTGTGAGAGCAAAGAATCTTGCTGGTTTGGGCATTCCCAGTGACACCACTGGACCAGTTCATGTCAAAGCCAGATACAGTAAGTATTGCTATCTGAAGTTTTCATTAATTCTGTCCTGGACAAGCTCAAAAATGGCTTCTTTTTTTTTTCAAGTTAGTCTACATTTCTAGTCAGAAGCTGTTGTATTTTAGCAGGTAGATGCTTGCCTGCAGATCCAAATGACCTGCCCCCTCCACACAGTGGTATCCCAGAATGCCCCCTCCACACAGTGGTATCCCAGAATGCCCCCTCCACACAGTGGTATCCCAGAACCCACATGGGCAGTAGAGATTCTAAACAACTGAAACCCATTAATTACTGTTAGTTTTTCTGAAAGTTAAAGAGTACAAAAGTTAATTAGTATTATTACACATAATTCTTAAATACATTTTCTATCAGGTAAACCTTCGGTTCCTGGAGTTCCAGAGGCAGAGAAGGTTGGCAGAACATTTGTGGAACTGAAGTGGGATAAACCAAGGAATGATGGAGGATCCAAGATAACAGGTTAGTAGAACATTTGTGGAACTGAAGTGGGATAAACCAAGGAATGATGGAGGATCCAATATAGCAGGTTAGTAGAACATTTGTGGAACTGAAGTGGGATAAACCAAGGATAATGGAGGATTCAATTTAGCAGGTTAGTAGAACATTTGTGGAACTGAAGTGGGATAAACAAAGGAATGATGGAGGATCCAAGATAACAGGTTAGTGTGTTACAGAACATTTTTCTGTCAGCCAGGTGTTATCTCCACAATGAAGGTTGGCTGCAGGGGATCTCCAGCATACACTGTCTTTCACTCTGGTGTATACTCTCTCAGCCTGCTGTTTATTCATCTCTTGATGCCACTCTTCCATCTGTATCACTGTGTATCTCTTTTTCCCTTGCCTCCAAAATTTCTCCCATGATGTCATTGCTATAAAAGTGTTATGTCTTTTAATGTAGCTAAAATATTTTGCTTTTCTTCTTTTTTTTTTTTTCAATTTCCTTCCACGACTCTCTTTTCTTTTCTGTTCTTTTCAAAAACAGTCATTCTATCTTTTCTATCTGTTATTCATTTTTTATTTCT